CTATTCACTTACGAGGATGCTCTAAACAGAGCTGAAATGAACCAGCTGTGAGTTTCACTGGAAAGGGCACACACAATCAATTTGGATCATTTAAGCTTATTGAAGACTTCAACTCATAAAGCACCAATAAGTCTAAATCAACAACTCCTGTGATCTCTTATTGTAATAAACAAGATTTTAATTACCTCAGACAACAAGCATGCAATGAACCTGCACTTTAATGGCGCTCTCAGAGGTTTTATCTGGAGATTTCTCTTTGCATTAACTCCAACTTGAGCTATTAGTGGAAACACCACATGATTCAATCCCTATTAGTGTCACATGAGCATTTAGTTAAGTTACCAACCACAGGACAGGGAAAGAGTATGGGATAGGGAGAAGACTTAGGACAGCCTAGAAGCCACACTAGATAACTGTGATTAGACAGATAACACAAAGCAAGTAAGCCCAGCAAGAACTAGAACAGGACCCTCTGACCTCACTGTTTTAACCACCGGCTTATCCTGAGCCTTCTGACTTCAGGATCCGGAAAGACATCTTCAACGGCTCTTTTATCATGTAAACCAATACATCCACAGTTCCTGGGATTATGGGGTGGACGGTTTTTGGGGGTACCATTATCCTGCCCACCAAAACCGCCACTGATTTTTATTCCTTAAATTTGCCAAGCATTAACTTGCCTTTGCTTATCCCTGTTCTACAGGCAGGCTCCGATTCATCTCTTCTATCTTAGTCAATGTCGTTCAGTAAAAATCTTTTATCTTAATAAACATCTGCCTCCACAGAGGTCTTCCAGCTTGTGACAAATGCCCCTCATTCCGAGATCACTACTGATATTACACAGCTACTTACATGACTGCTGGTTCAGTTTCTGTGTCATGACTAGACTGTAACTACCTTAAGGGTGGGGACTCAGTCCTTCTGGTTTACCTTTGTAACCCAGCACCTACAGAACAAAAGGCATTTAGGGGGAAATTGCTGCAGGGCAAGGAATAAAGCTGAATAATAGGAGGTGGGGACATCTGAGAATCCAAAGGGGGTCTAGTCTCCTAGGTATGGCTGGTAATTGAATTCCTAATTTCTTTTCTAGCATTAATTGAGCTGTAAAGAATGTTGGCTATTGAAGGGCTTCGATTTTATTTTTACAAGGACATTATTTTTCTATTAGACTGGACATTTTTAAGTGTAGGAACTACAAGACCAAGTCTAGGATTTCAGCCAGGAAAATGTGGAGAGGTCTAATTTCTGGATGTGTACAAAGTTGTGGATGACCTCAAAGAATTCCTGGGAAGCAGCAAAACCTACAAAACTGGGTTTGTTGCAATTTACCCTCAAGGGAGCAGATCCAGATTCTTGTGGGGCAGATGCTTCAAATTCCACCTGCAGAGCAAAGCCAAGGCAGCTGCTGAAAACCATATCCTGACTTTATCTGGGAGGAATGGAGAGGAACCTGGCCCAGCGGTGCATGTCCCCATAAGACAAGTGCATTTCCTCTCGCAAAATCACGGGAGGGTGGAACACTTCTCAAGCTGTGAGTCCTCATGATTCAATTGTACTTGAAACAATGCCACCCACATAAAGGAAGGTCCGATTCCACTGAACGCACTGCTTCCTATGCTCCACGCACAACTGCGACACTGGGGCAGGATAATTCTTTGTTGTGGGGGCTGTCCTATGAACTGAAATTTTTAGCAGCATCCCTGGCCATGACCCAGTAAATGTGAGTACCTTACCACTGCCCACAACAGTGACAACCCAGTTAGGAACAATGCTGTCTTCTATCAATCCCAGTACAACCCTCAACAATGGCTCTTCTCTGACACCACATACAAGACAAATAAATAATGTCCCTAACGCTGATAAATTACTACTTGATACATTACAATTTTTCACAGTTTTATTTTAATTCCATTCAAAATGTAGTTATAAGGAGAGAAACAAATCAAGTCTGAGATGTTCAAATAATGAGAACATCTCAGGGAAAGTTGATATTAATAAAGAGCTCAAAAAAAGCAATCTATCCTATATAATAAAAGCCGAGGAGGCGGCATGCAATGTTGTCACAAGATGGCCACAACGACATCATCCCAAGGTGGCCACCACAAGGTGGCCAGCACAAGATGGCCGGCAGGGGAGGGCAGCTGTGGGCAATCAGGCCAGCAGGGGAGGGCAGTTGGGGGCGAACAGGCCAGCAGGAGAGGGCAATTGGGGGCGACCAGGCTGGCAGGGGAGGGCAGTTGGGGGCGAGATCAGGCCTGCAGGGGAGGACAGTTGGGGGCGAGATCAGGCCAGCAGGGGAGGGCAGCTGGGGGTGACTAGGCTGGCAGGGGAGGGCAGTTGAGGGCAACCAGGCCAGCAGGGGAGGGCAATTGGGGGCAATCAGGACAGCAGGGGAGCAGTTAGGGGGCAATCAGGCTGGCAGGCAGGTGAGCAGTTAGAAGCCAGCAGTCCTGGATTGTGAGAGGGATCCCACAGGCCAGGCCAAGTGACCCCACCTGCTGGAGGGACCCCACTCACTCCACAGAAGCCCTTCGAGCCCCGGCGCTGCCCCAGGTGGGACCGGCTGGGGAGGGACTTCGGGAGGTTGGCTCCAGGGCTTGTCCAACCCATCTCACCCAGTCCCACCCCGCCCTGCCAGCCACCTTCTAATTAATTTACTTTCAATGTGCAAGAATCCGTGCACCAGGCTCTAGTATAACATAAAATATTACAGACATGTTTTGGGCAAAAGTAAGCAATTTTTCTGTGCATATTTTAAAGTTAAATTTGATCCCATTACCTTTGATCTCTGAAATTCAAGTTCCTCTAAGTATATCCACTAAGTAATTTAACATGTTTATCATATTTTAAAAAGCAAACTATGAACTAGATGGGACTGGATGAGAAACCCAATTAATACTGGCAGCCTTAGCATCTGATGTTACTTGAAAGACATAAATTGAAACAAGTTGGTCAAACAGTAAGTCTGGGCGTTGCAGCTTCCATTGCTAATTAGTTTTGAGCTTCATGGCACTCTTTGCGCAAAAGAAAACCAAAATATTAATTTAAAGTAATGTTTCCAAAAGAATATGCATCTAGTCTATGCATTTTTCCAGAAGCAAATTCGAGGAGGAGACAGGCTCGTCTCGGCATGAGGGGATGCGATTAGGGAAAAGGCAGAAGTTGTAGTTGCCGGCTCCAGAGTTCTTCCTTTTCACAGCAGGCACCAAAATAAGTTTGATACAGGGGGTCCAGTCTCTTGTCTGGAACAAGATTAACCGAACAAATCGCAACCCGATTCTAAGATAAAGAGGCTTTGGAGCAAACCTGGTTGGGTACAAACTATCCCTTCCACTCAAACTACCCATGGGGGGAGAAAACCAAACTGAAAAACATGGTGCAATCTTGTTTCTAGGAATCAAGATTTCCACGCAGAAGTAAAGCTAAGACTTCTAAGAAATGATTCATTCCATTTACAGGGGGGAGGAAAGCCCATGAAGTAGAAATCCTACTCATGAGAATGATAATTAGTGTGAGTAGGACAGGAAGACCCACAGAGAGATGCATCCTAGTACAGAAAATTTTTGATAGTGAGAATTTCTCAGCTAAACTAGAAAAAATATGAAGCATTCACAGAAGTAGCTATATCTGGTTTCTCCAGGAATCATGGATAAGAAACAAATACACACACACACACACACACACACACACACAGGTATCTATAAAGAAATAATACTGGTTTTCTCATCTTATAGGGATTTTCACCTCAGGTTAAGGATATTTAAAGGGCTTGAGGAACTAAGGTGAGTGATGAAATCCTACAAATTATATGCAAACCTGTGTGTACACATATGTATTTTCTCTATGGAGGGAAGGGTCTCAAGCATTCATCAGATTATCAAAGTAGGTCATGACTTAAGAGAAGTTACAAAACTTCTCTTAAGAAAACAAAGAGCTATCCCATGTTTGCGTCCCGCCGTAGGCTCGGATGCACAGCCTTTCAGCTCTTCCACAAACCCGTAAAGCTTACCACACGGGGAATCAAACGACCCACAAACACGTTTGTCCCAACACAAGACTATCGTCCTGACCATTATTAAAAGCAAAGATAAGGTTAGCGACGGGCAGGTGTTCTGTCCTCCAACATGAATAAGGTTTGGAGTCTTGCTCTTTCCCCTCCCAACGTCACCAAAAAGACAGACATGACCCCCTGCATCCAGACGTTTTTCCTGCCTAGCAGCATGGATCTTTCAGAAAACTGACACGGGGAGGCAAAACGCCACCGTCGATCCCAGCAGAGTTAACCGCAGCCATGCCACCAACAGCCACCGCCTTGTTTTAACAGCTGATAGGAGCAAGCGAGCCTTCAAACCGCTTCCCTACTGAGAGAAGTTTCCGAGTCTGTTCTTCACAGAGCAACCAACTTTCCTATATTCCAAAGGGCAAACATGGAGTCATCTGAGTTTCCTACAAAATTTCACCTTCAGAAAGCAGGGTCTCAGCTCAGAGGTTGGGCATTGACCCAGGGACCAAGAGGTCTCTGGTTCGATTCCCAGTCAGGGCACATGCCTGGGTTGCAGGCACCATACCCAATAGAGGGTGTGCGGGAGGCAGCCAATAGATAATTCTCTCTCATCACTGACGTTTCTGTCTCTCCCTCTCCCTTCCTTTCCCTCTAAAAAATCAATAAAAACATATATGTTTTTAAAACGCAGGGTTTCTGAAATGGACAGGGAAAAGAGACTGTGTCAAATGAAACAAATGCTTGCAAATCACCGCTCAGACCTGAATCTACTCAATCCAGATGTCCGTGACGTCTATGTGCATCTGGTTAAACAGGGTGGGGAACGTGAGGATGGAGAGTCACCTGCCACGCTTACATGAAGGATTTCCACAGACAAAGGGAGAGACAGTACACGTTTGATTTGCAAAATGACTAGGAGTAAAGACACAGCATCTCACTAATGGAAAGACGCCAAGCACAGCTGCCCTTTGCCAGCTGGAGTTTCCAGTTCTCTCACCTCCACAGGGAAGCGCCTGCCATTGATGCTGTGCTCCGAGCCCGCAGAGCCATTGCTGTGGCCCCAGTGAAACTCCACCTTCTCCGCTTTGAATCTGCCGGGCAGGCCAGCGCCGCTGACGAAATAGTCGTCTTTCAGAAGGATGGCAACTGTAGGAAATGAAAGGGGAGAGAAACAAAGTGAGTGTCCAAAGCAAACTCAATAGGTTTCTTCTGTTGCTTCAAATTACGTTTATGATCACCTTTCCTCGTCTTCCTGTTAAAAAACAAATAAAAAAAACAAGCCATCTGAATAAATTAGCACACTGTAGCTACAGACTGCTCTCAAGCACCAGTGGACTCTAAATCATGGAAATTCCCAGGGACGGTCTCAAAATGTCTTATCCATTTAACAGATGGGAAATTTGAGACAATGACAGAGTAAGTCACTCTGAATCAGCGTCTCCTAAAACTGACTGATGATCAAAATTATCTGGACAGTGAGATTCCTGGGTCTACCCCAAGATTCAAGATCTGGAATGAGATGGGAAATATATCTGATAAGCTGAAGGTGAGAGGCACATTACTTTAATCAGAAAAAGGCAAGATATCAGAAAATAAAATGTGCAGGTTCTTCCAATTATTAAGGCAACAACAGTGAAAAGGTAGCGGGGTTGGGTAAAGCATTCATTGCATTTGAAAAATGTGCTCAGAAAAGTATAGCGCAAACTCTACTCATTCAGTCACTGAAATCATTGCAGATTAGGTTTACTTTACCGTTTCCATTCATTCCAAGTATAAGAAAATTCCCTTCGCCCATGCAGAAGAACACATATGAATGAATGTCCATGTCCACAGGGAGCCTCCATCAACTCAAACCCCAAAATCTCTTCCTTGAAACATGGGAAAGAGAATTCAAGACCAAAGAACTTGGACTTACACTAACAAAAAATTATGTTTTCCACAAGGAATGTGATATCCAAATGCATAAAAAACAGGTTTTATTTTATAAGTGATACATCCCCCCCTTTCTTGATTTCTAAGGTGAATTCATTCATTCATCCAAACAGTTTCTGGCTGCTAAGTGTAAGATGCCAACCAGTAGCGAATGGTTTATGATCAAAGCCCAGGAGACCCTCTTGTAGCCTCACGGTCCCCTCTTCCTCAAGGAGTCCCAGTTCCACTGTTGGAGACCAACCCTGCATGAAAATTAGGTCTTCATGAAAGACAGACGCTAGACTAGGAACCTATTGCCGAAACAATGCCATTATGTTCAGCACTTCTCTATACAGAGGAAGCAGTAAGTGCAAGTGAAGGAACCCTGCTCATATAAACCCCTTTTCATGGCATTTCAAAAGGCAGTATTTCTCGAACTTCTGAAAAATATACAATGAATGTTCAATTAGTGGGACTGCAAATTAAAGAATAAAATGAGGTAAAAGCAAGTGTTTCGTATGCTGATTAAACACGCCAAGGGACTGCTCCCCCTTTAGGGCACGCTATTCGAGTTTTAGAACAAGAGCTGGAAAACTGTTCCTGTGGAGGGTGAGATAGGAAATATGTAAGGCTTTCTGGCTCTCTGGTCCCGGTTGCAACGACTCAACCTCATCTTTGTAGCAGAGATGTAGCCAAACATACTATGTAAGTGAATGGGTCAGGCTATGTTGAATAAAACTTTACTAATCCACACTGAAATTTGGATATATTTTCATGTGTCATGAAATATTATCATCCTTTTGATTTTTTTCAACCACTAAGAAAAGCAAAACAAAACAAAATGGGGGGAGTGTCACTTGGTGATCTCTAAAATACAATATGATTTTTAGAAAATAAGTTAAACTAGTCTTACACCTTTAGTTTCAAAGCCAAAATGTATAGGAATTAGCTCAGCAGTGTCTTCAATACCATTGATCATTATCAGTCTGCTATAAATCCTATAATATTTTACATCTGAAGGACGAAGGCAAAGCATTTTGAGTGCATCTGTTACAATACACCCAGGGACACGCAGCATCTTATTAATATTTGATTTTACCTAAATCATTTATGTCTCTGTCAGGGGTCATTTTACTTGTTTTATATGAATAATTAAAGCATAATTAGGGAACTGTACAATCTGAAACATTCATCTCATTTTTCATTTCACAGTACTTCTCACTGGAGCACACGGCATGCTGCATGCACACACCCCGCTCGGAAAGTGGCTTCTGTTTCTGTTCACCTATGAAACTGGGAACAGAGAACTTGCCCAGCTGCTGGGGAACAACTTTCTGATGACCCCTGATGACACGGCTCTGTTTCGACACAAAATGCACCCACGGCCGTCACTTCAGAGCACAGGTGTATTGGGCACCAGGACCTCAGGGGATGGATAAGTCTGGGCTGGAGTCCAATTCTGTCACATAAGTGGCGTGACCTTGGGAAGCTACCCCACTCCTCTGGGCCTCGGCTTCCACGACTGTCCCCACAGTGCCTGCCTGGCACTCAGACCCGAAGGCAGTCATGCCTGAGAAATCCCACGTGGGAAGCAGGTGACAGTGACAGACACTCAGCGTGCACACACGCCGTGGCGGTGGCTGTCAAGCTCATTTCTGAGACGTGGAGGAGCTCAAGCCCAGAGAATGACCGCACAGGAATCCGCTCCATTTTCAGAGTGAGATGGTAAAGCAATATGGTGAGAAGCGTGCTGGGCGGGGCAAACCTGGCGGGAGTGGCCCACACTCCGGGAGGAGATCTTCAGTGCCGAGTAGATGTTCTGAGATCAGTAAAACCCAGAGAAAAACTGTTTTCCTTTTCTTTAGTATTCCTATCCAATAGTCACATCAAGGAAAATAAAATCCTAATTTGGTGCTAATATGTCCTCCACACTCACCTGATACTCATTCATTTCCACCTTTCACCGAAGAGTAGATATTATGCTAGAATTTAATAACTGTGGTAAATATGACATATTTTCATTGATTATAGACATTTTTTTACATTAGTCTATCCATGTCGTATAGCATAGGTTTTCCCATTATGGTGCTGATAAAAAGTTTTCTCTTAAAACCAGCTTGTTAATTTAAAATAATGTGAGTGAATTGAAGGAAACATTTAAACTTCAAAACAGCAGTAGAGTTGAATTTGGATAAGGTGATGATTGGGAAGCTAACAAGCAACAGCTAAAGACTAAAGAACAATGGGATAGGAGGGGGAGGAAGGAAAGGTGCCTGGGAGAGAACTTTCTAGAACTAGGCCCTCCAGCTCTTAAACTGCTAACATGGTTGTGATTACACCAAAGCAGAAGGATAGAGGGCGCAGAAAGAGCCAGGGCTTCAAATTCAGGATTCCTTAACCCAGAGACCAAGCCCATCTCATAGCTACCCACGGGCTCAGGCTGCCCCCTCCTGACACAGAAAGTGAAATTCTGAGCATGGAGATATATATATGGGGAGAGAGAGAGAGAGAGAGAGAGAGAAAGAGAGAAAGCGCTAGACTCTAGACCAGCGCAAACTACGGCCCGAGGGCCGGATCCGGCCCGTTTGAAATGAATAAAACTAAAAAAAAAAAAAGACCGTACCCTTTTATGTAATGATGTTTACTTTGAATTTATATTAGTTCACACAAACACTCCATCCATGCTTTTGTTCCGGCCCTCCGGTCCAGTTTAAGAACCCATTGTGGCCCTCGAGTCAAAAAGTTTGCCCACCCCTGCTCTAGACCCAGCGAGTGTGAATTTGAGTCTGGACTGCCCACTGTCCAGTTGTGGAAAACGTGCTGCAGTCCTTGGTGCCTCGGGTCTAGTTCCCCAAAACGGAAAAAATACAATAGGAACCTCACTCATCTGGTATGAGATCGCCAGGGTTGACACAGGCAGACTGTTCAGAACAGTAATTCACACAGGACTTTATGGCATAAAGATTGCATTTGCTGTGCTGCTTAGAAAGGTTATTACCCCGGGGAGAGGAGCTGTAGCTTCCACATATCTCCGTGTCTAGGGCCTTATGTGAAACTGCTGTGCCCAGGGGCAGGGGCAGGGGCAGGGGCAGGAGCAGGGGCAGGGGAAGGGGCAGGAGTAGGGGCAGAGACAGGGTAGGGGCAGGGGCAGGAGTAGGGGTAGGGCAGGGGCAGGGGAAGGGGCAGGAGTAGGGGCAGGGGCAAGGGTAGGGGAAGGGGCAGGAGTAGGGGCAGGGGTAGGGGCAGAGACAGGGCAGGGGCAGGGGAAGCGGCAGGGGCAGGAATAGGGGCAGGGCAGGGGCAGGGGCAGGAATAGGGGAAGGGGAAGGGGCAGGGCAGGGACAGTGGAAGGGGCAGGGCAAGGACAGAGGCAGGGGCAGGGGCAGAACAGGGGCAGGGGCCGGGGAAGGGCAGGAGCAGGACAAGGGTAGGGGCAGGGACAGGGGCAGGTAGAGTCTCACCATGGAAAAGAATGTAGTTGTCTCCTGAGCTTGAAGGGAGGACCGAGGACCTGGCATTCGTGGCTTGCTTTGCAGGGTTATCCACCAACTGCTTACAAATTTAGCTCAACATGTCTATGTAATGTGGGCTAAACACATGTTCACAACAAAATCTCAGTCAACAGCAGCAGGTGTCAGAAGTTAAAAAAAATTCATGAGACAGAAAACGAGCTGCTTAATATCTTACATCCATCGTCTCCGACCACTTTTTCACACTGTACGATGGGAAGAGACTACCGTTACTGGACCAGAAGTCTGGGGCCCAGACCACCCGCAACACCAGTGTCTGCCGGGGGACACTTCGGGTCCCTGGTGAAAACGGAAACCCTCTGACTTGGATGTCAAGACACATGAGCTCTAACTCCAGCCTTCTCCTCACTTCCCTGGGGGCAGATAATTATTTCTTCAATTGTTTACCTAGTAATTGCTAGGGAACCAAAGGTAAGTAAGTCAGACCCAGCACCTGCCTCATGAAGAATGTGGTTGGTAGGAAGGATAGGCCCCAACAACCCAACCAACAGAAGCGAACCTGCAAGTGGGACAGGTGGGGACAGGTGGTAACAGGTGAACTTGCAACCCCAGACAGGAGAAGGACTGACGGAATCCACTGAGAATTAAGGAGCCATGGTGGGCAGTGCTGACCAGACGGGAGCTCAAGCAAAGGCCCTGTGGCAGGGGAAGTAAGTAGGAGGTCCGGGTGAATACTGCCCAGAGAATAAACTAGAGACTAGAGAA